GGTATGATTCAAAAGGATTTAACCTGTGCGAATTCGGCACGTCATATCTTTTATTTTCCGGCACTCATCCCTGTGTAAATTGAAGCATGAAAACTCAACTTCACGACAACTAACAGCTTGTTTTCGATGCTAAATAAACCACTTTCTTTCGTGATTAATTTAGAGATCAAAATCGGATGGACAGTAAACCTGACGAGATCCCGTTTTCGTTCAACTAATAAAGTTGAGAGCAATGCATGCATCATACTTCCTTAGAATAGCGAATCACTAATGCGTATATGACACCAAGACAATCGAAGTGAAGTGAATGGAATTAGAATAATAAAATTATGGCTTCTTTAGAAAATTGTAACCCGAAACGTAGTACAACAATGGTTATAAGTGGAGTCGCATACGTGCCACCACAGAATGATATCTAAATTCAAGCTCATATTGTAGACAGTCGCTGACGTCTGGATAACGGACAATGAACCTAAGTAGCTGGTAGACGTTTCTTATTGCAGCCTGCAAAAAAGGTTAGGATGAACGGTCGAATGCAACTGCTTCCTAATTGAACTTATGCGCCTATAAAAGTGTCACTGGTTTGGTCTTTTCTTGACAGAATACCATGGAATACCCGAGCGTGTGAGTCGGCTGGGTACAAAGTGATTGATCCTTTTATCCTGACATGTTGCAGACGAATTATGGTGAATACTTCATAGTACTTTCACCAACTTACTTCTTTTCTGAATTATTACTTTTGAGTGATAATGCGTAAACTAAAGGCACCTTCTCTAACTCGCTTTCAACTTAGCATTTACTTTTTTGGTCTGCAAATTTCCATATTTTTGGTATTTTCCTTCTAAAAGCTGATCACTCTCCAAAGCTTTTTACCTGATTACCGTACTAACAAATTTCAGGAGCTAATTGGACGAGGTCCAAGGTCTTTCACAGTTACATTCATCTAGATCCGTTATATGTAGATAACACGAATAGTGGAAATACTCGTTTTTGGTAACAACATCCTTGTGGCTAAAATAGGTACATTTATAGATAAGAAACTCATAAATCATGAACCATGTCAATGTGTTAGAATGTGACTGGGTAGACAATAAAATTGGTGGTGTTTCATTTTTTTCTAGACAGGAGAGAAGATGTTTTTGTTTCCTGGATACAACAACTTTAAAGGCAATAATACTACGGCTGAATTTCTGAAGTTCTACCTATCAATACGATCAATCAGACATAAAGGTCCAGTTCTAAAATTTAAACCCCAAAGCCTACTTATTTACATCGACATCACAGCAAGTGGCTGATGGTTTCAAACTTACCATAGTTGATTTCTGGCGTCGATATTGTCTAGACAATAAAACAGGAGTATCCTTGATAATTGTTACAGAGGAGCACTGAGAATGGCAAGTAATAACCATAATACCATCTTGATCAAACAAGACAGGGGTTTGAGATTATCCTTATTGATAACGCAGATTATATCTCTCAAAAATTTACTTTGTTCCATAAAATACAGAGAGTCAAGCACGATTTCAGGACCACCATTAAAATTATAGATGGATGTACTACACCTACCAGTGCAGCGACAGGCTCTCCGAAGGATTGTCCCCCGTAGTCTGAAAGACATCTTTCGATCTGTGGAACTGATTAGGGAGCAAACTGCTGGAGTACAAAAGACGGCCTCTCTGAATTTGACATCTTTGTTTCACCGAAGTCTTGCTTCTAGAGATGATCGTTTTTTCTATGACTTCAAAATATAAAAAGGGAATCGACTTCGGTAGTCAAGTAGAGAAAATTAGGTAACTACTGGTACGACACACTTTCACTGTCCAGTTAGTTTTCAACGGAGACTCGTGTCAGACAGATAAAGCCACTATAGGTTGGCCTATATGTCCCTTATTGGCTGACATTCATGGCTAAGCTAGAAAATGGAAAGCATGTGATACGGTAGAACGTTTACGCATCTATTGTAGATAAGTAGATGATATTTTTGTTCTGACTGAACGTTATACACGGTTGGAGTCATTGGTGTAGGAGTTCAATCAAACCCATAATGCGATTGACCTTACATCGGAAGTAGAAAAATAAAATACCTCCATTTCTCCTAACCTATCACTTGTAAGAGGTGTTGATAGTGAATGGCTTCGTTGGATACATCGCAAATCAACGAGGGCAGGCCAGTACAATACTTTTGCCAGATTTGTGCCTTCTTCTTTCCCTAGCAACCCGTGTGCGGATGATTTGCTAGGAGGAGATGGCGAGTGAAGAATCAGACACCTCAAATCAAGCGCCTCTGAATACCGGATATTGAGAACCTTTCATTCGGAAGAACATAGAAGAAAGAGCAGATACATAAGTTCGTAACCGTTAGGAAAGAGTCATTCATTTAACTCCTTCTCGTGAGACGGGAAAAAACGAGTTACTATGATGAGCCGCAAAAAGGCACCAGGTGACACCGTTCCCGCTGCTAAACTACGAGCCATCTTAACCAGTCGATCAGTGATCTGAGCAAACCTCAAAGACAAGTTACCTGTTCTCATCTCGTCGGTGCTAACATATTCGTTTATTTGCTTGTGTTCTGCAGAATACACAGGAAACTATCATGAAGGATCAAAGAACACAAACCGGTTTGACTGACGACGAGAAACAGAGAATCCGTTGCCAGAGCAACTGTGGCGCACCTAGCAGACACTGACCATTTCGTAAATGACGACGCTTTAGATGTAGTATACAGAGTCCTTACGAACGCGCCGAAAGCCGCTCGAAAAGAACATCTAGCAACAGCAGAGGCTGTTTCCAACAACGTTTCATTGAAGCACTCAAACTGACCTGATCACGATCTGAGACTGACCTTGGAACTCAGTATGACCCACCTGCTGAGCTTTGGTTGAAACCGGCAATGGATAATTCTCGAAACCCGTGTTCGCTGTTCCACTGGTCATATATCCAACCAAGCAACAACAAAATTTTCCTTCCTATCTTTCCACACTACACAGCACCGGCTTTATTCTCCACCCAATCACATTCTAACGCACAGATATTGTTCATGATTTAAGAAATTCTAACCTCTAAATGTACCTGCATTAGCCACAAAGATGACTTTACCGAAGACGAGTTTCTTCACTATATGTTATTTGTACATAAAGGAATTGAATTTTTCAGTTGATTATGCAAAGTAAGCGTCTGGGTTTTTCTTGTGCATCCACAATCCAACCATCCTGCATTTATCAAGGTGCATTGCCATCGACGATCAAGTGTACTGACGTAATACTTGAAAAACGATTCCGGTATCAAAAAAGTTGGTTCTGACTGATATGACGAATCGAACAGTTCCTTGGATTTGGGATCAGCTCAACGCAGATTCGGCATTCTCACACCGGCCAGTTGTTAGAGCAAAATGAGTAGGTTACTGTGCCACTTAGTTGCACGACGAACTCTATCTAAGTTTATGATGAATACATGCATAGTACACAGATTTGTTTTCACGTTATTGAGGTCAAATAACGAAGGTATTGAGGCGTATTTTTGAAAATATCCGGCCGTTCAGAAAACCTACGAACAGCTGAACTGAATGATGTATCCGCGAATTTCGGATCCGGCTGTATGTACTCTTCAATTTCCATAGGTCTGCAAACAATGCAGCCCTCACTTTGGCACTCCCAGTATATTGTGTGCAATGATTCACCAGTAGTATGCCAACGACTAGCATGGTTTTTAAAACAATAACGAACCAGTCATTACCATTGCTCTTTCCAGAAATCTTTAGTTCGTTTTAAGCATCATTTGTTCGCATGCACCGACCAAATTCTCTGTTTACATCTTTGCGTCAGAGGTATTTGTTTGCTGAATCAGTACTTAATAGTAAAATTAGAGATTTCGTTTCCAATTCAAACTGGCAACAGACAAAAAGCTTCATTTCTGATAATGCATCATCTGGTGCATATGGATCTAGCTCACATTTTTCAGTCATGCGATTCACTTCTATCTGGATCTGTGTTTTGCCTTTTGGAGAGACAGCGAAAATGGGACACCAAGCCGGCATTCTCTGAAGTCGGCTAGTGTGTGAGCACAATGTCGATTCGCGTAGTTTGTTCACTACCAACATGCAATTCAGTCAAGTGTTGATTATATTGGTTTTGCTGCCTGCGCTGAGTTGTATCTAGAGAGCTCTATTAATTATACGAAGGTGATTCTACATAATAATACTGAATCCCACTTTAAAATTTTAGGATTTGTTACAAAATCACTAGAAAAGCGCATTTGAGAACAAGTATACATGATGAGATCCGAGAAAAAAATAGATCGCTCCTTCGGATCAGCTGCCTTCTCTTTCTTATATGGGTAAATTATTTGGGGTGAATGCACTACCCTGACTACTCATTTTGGCTTTTCCTTTAAAATACTAATTTCCAGTAATTTGGCGCAATTTTATTGTTCGGTAAAATACCAGTAAGCACAAGTTGGTTAACATTACACGCTCTGTTATAAATATAATCAAACCCGAGCTCTGTCACTTCCTTTTCCCGTTGTTTTAATGTTTTGAAAGCGCAATCATTCCAGCCACTTAGTCCGCTGAAGATGTATTCCATACGCGGAGCGAACTGGATTAACTTTATTATTATATTCTTTCAACAAATCAATAGCCATTGATACGTATTGCATATGCGACAGGATTGTTAGAATTTTCGTACATATCAGAGTTGATACAAACGGAAAAAACTGTAAACAATCTTCATTGTGATCATATTGGAAATAAACTCAAAGTGGGATTTTTATCACGGAGTTATCCATGCTATCAGACATAAGTTACTCAACAGTTTCATTTCTAAGGCACATTTACACCAGCAACCAATCCGAATGGTATTTTTTTCATTCTGTCCGTAAAACACACAGAAAATCACACAGAAAGCTTCAGTATAGAACGCAGTTCTTTGTTACGGAAAACATGAAGTCAGTATATTTTGCTGCTGCGAGTTCAAATAAAGGTAATGATAAAATTGCGGAACTCACTAAAAATCTTCTGACTGGCAGAAACTATAGAGAAAATAGAAATTATGGTGAACTAGATAAGAATTGGAAAGGTTTTCTACGCAAACCATTCCCTTAAAAAATATGGTTTCATTATTCTCCGAAAGGATTATCAAACCAAACCAACGGGTACCCAGGAAATCTGGTCTTTCCTTCTAGAGTTCGTCTGATCACTCGTGTATGTATACAAACAAAAAATCCTAATGGATACATTTTAATCCAAAAAATGGACTCCACATTATATAAAAACTATTTTGGTTGTCGCATAGAGAGAGGTTGGCATCGATTTGCATTTGCTCTGCACTTTATAGTTGTATCCGCCCTCATGAATTAAGGTAGACTTGGTTTAAATGGAAAAAAATAATACGTTTTGCTTCAGACAACTATAAGATAATCAAGTAGTTCAACTAATTAGGTTTTTGAAAATGTGAATGATAAATTAGAAATGAAGGGCTTGACTTTCCAGGTCCGAAGGGTAACAATGAATATAAAGACGTGAACTTACCAATAAAACAGGATCCACAGATGGACGAAGGAAATGTCTCTGAATAATAATAAAAGAGTGTTCAAGTATATTGGTGAATAAACGAAAAGTGGAACACAGGATACGCGTAGACAGTTGGCAGCAATAACTTCAAAAACGATCAGATTCTTCCGGGAAGCATTTTCCACCCATCTTTCACTACTAGTCACATCAAACACCGCAAACTGCGACCCCGGTGTTATCGTTCTCGACGTAAGCTCCGACGGGTCCACGCAACTATTTGTCAATATCCGTTATAGTTCTTTATGGAAACCTCTTGAAAGGAGCATACATCGACACAGTTAATACAAAACATAGACTTCTTTGAAAACGTTTCCGACAACTTTCCCTGTTCCCTGGTAACCGATTGTCTGAACAGAGAATACGGAAGACCCAGAAGCGAAGTAATTGGATGTAATGTGATGTGAAGTAATGGAAATTGTTGAAGCTAATTTAAACCGATTCATATAAATTATAACCTAAAAAGCCGTTATTCCGATCAAATGACTTGGTAGGGCACACAATATTCAATCGTGAAATTTTTTGATTCACCTGATGAACGAATATTTTCTGCGTTCTCTCAGTCTGGCAAAATACACTGCTGCGGTTATTGTTTGTTTTGCAACAGTGCGGGCGACTGTTCAAGTGGATACGACTGCCACATTCTTCTAGGTTACTTCCTCTCGGTCTGGCTCAGCTCGCTACTCAGAAACAGTTAGGAAGACTTGAATTGGTAGCTGCATTATGTTTAGCCAAGGTAATTCAATCACGGCAACGTGGAGGGCCAACAAATAAGCCAAATATAGCAAATACAACTGGAATCAATGCTCAATCGTACGGCCTCGTAATATGCTGATTCAGGCGTCGACAATGACGAAAACATTTGTGACGTTGTACAAATAAATGATAACAATACAAAGAAAGATACCTAGCCATGCAAAATAACCCATTTTGCGCCGAAAAACGCCAACAAAACATGCGAAGGAGCCTAGCATGACTAGTTAAACTGTCAATACCCATAATGGTTTTGACGGTTACCTGAAAATCCGTCAATAAAACTACAAGACACCTACGAAGTGGCCTTTTTCTAGTTTTCCTTTTGTGGGTTTTTTGATTACGATCACTGGAAACTTTTGACAGCCCCTCTTATTTACCGAACTGACTGAAACACTATTTCTCCGGAAGAAACAGTGCATCTAAGTAGGCGGAATGTAGTCTGAACATATCTTAACCGTTGCCGGTGTAAGTCAAATGTTGTTGTTTCTCCGTATCTGTTTTAGCATTCATTAATGATTTGTCGGTCTCCCACCCAGTTCGCAACTTCAAATATGCTGATGACGTTATTTAGCCTAAGTCTTTCTCAAATAGACCAGACTATGACGAATTCACTGCAAATATTTCACAGATTCAGAACTTCTTTAATCATTCTGATCTTTTGTTGAAAAGTAATGCATATCAAGAATTTATTTCTTCCTTTCTCGACTCATGGATAATGGGAGATACTTACATCAATAAAGCTATCCCCCTCGCACGTATTTACCGCGTGAAGTATCTTGGTGTTAGGCTGCAACATTATCAGCATTGGTATTTCCACACTGAAACAACAGTGGGGGAACAGCTTCAGATGTCATATGGAATAAGAAATCCGCGATAAATTGGTGCTCCACGAATTGTTATTCCACTTTTATGAGTTCAATGTGTATTACCAACCATTCCTTATCGTTCATTGTTAGTTTTCCAGGTTTATAAAAAGGATTTCATCACTCTTCGCAGAAGCTTACTCATCATTAGTCTTCTTTCTGGTATAACCCTAAATGACCTAGTATTGGAAATATCCACATAGCATCCACTGCATTGCAAATAAAATGCTTATTGATACTTCACACTCACCGCGTTTTGATCTTACTCTTGTTCAGTCCCGTGCGTCGGTCCGGTGTAGGTATAGTTAGATTTCTTGCAGTTTGTGTCTGTAGAGGATCTTCGTTTTCTCCTTTACAGCACGGATGTCAATTTGTCTGAAATGAAATCCTGATCTGACTTGTAACATATTTGGTGGTAGTTTGTTGGCCGAAAAACAACTGTGTTCAAACAAGTATATATATATATATATATATATATATATATATATATATATATATATATATATATATATATATATATATATATATATAACGACAGCAATGTGGCTCAAGTAAAGCTGTGACTGCGCCATGCAAATTACCCACAATGCAGCGATTTTACCGACCTTCGCAACAAGTATATTATTTCAAAGTCTTAAGCTCCCTAAAATGGATTGCTCAATATCTCAAGGCTACGATTGTTCTCATAAATACCTTCAATTTGCGGTGAACGTTAAACTCACCTCCTATTGTCAGTTTTCCCGATGACCATAAGGTTTTTTTGCATTTTCACCGGATGCACAGCAGCTAAGCATCAAAGTCAACTTATCCTTTGCTTCTCCCATGTCAGAAAACACTTCGCTAATTTACATGGGGCTTGCATTATTCACGATTCGAAATATAAACTTGTTGTATAAAAAATGAACGACCGGCAGCCGAACCCTGATATCTGGAGTGTCATCATCATCATCATCGTACAGCGTTAAACAGTAGGGCAAGCCCCACTGACCACTGCCTTTCTCACCATGTTGCACGTTGAATTAAAAAGTATGAATATACAAGATGGACAAGGAGTGGACCTATATGGGTGGGAAAAGAAAAGAATGCCCCATTAGCCAACACACGGAATACTTAGTCTAACTGTACAAGCGTACACCGATCAAACATTCTGATTCGATAGAAAGTGACAACACGATCGCCACTGTTCGCGGTTCGCAGCCATATCCTTCAGTGTCTCCAGCCAACTGGTTGATGGATCTTCTGAACCTCAATCAAGATGACGTGAAGCACCCACTTTTCCTAAGTTAACTGTATACATTCTCATTCCTCGGTACCACGTCATCTTTCGACCTCCACGTGTTTTTTACCACTCCTAAGGAGGAACGGAGAGTTGGACACGGTATGATAGACGTGTGTTTGCCATACGTAACACGTGCCCCAACCAAAGAAGTCTACCAAGCTGGATACGCTGTGACAGAGAGTTCTCCGAATCATTACGCAATACTCGCTTTCTGACCTTATCGTCGCTTACTCGGATATTCCACCCACTCATAGTGATGCTACGTAAACATTAGTGGTCTGAAACCTCAAGAAAACGAATATCTTCTGCACGCAGACTCCAAGTCTCGCAACCATACAACAAGACTTAATGCACTGCTGCACAGTACAAACTACCTTTCAACCTCAGAGAAATATTAGGTCGGCGCCACAAGTGCTTCATTCCAGCTTACTTCCCTCGAGTCTTAGATATACGCGTGCTCACCTCTACTACTGTGCTTCCATCCGCCGTCAAGCTGCTGCCATCGTAGGTGAAATGGTCGACAACTGACAACACCTCCCCATTGAGCATCAAGCTCGGAATCTTTGACGTCCAGTCTTGTCACATAACCTTACACTTTGAAGGTGCAAAGCGCATGCCGAATGCAGCTACAGCTTTCCCAAGTCTATCTAGTGAACGTTGAGCATATTCTGTTGATTCGAACAAGCAGACACCATTGTCCGAGTATTTCAGTTCATATAGCTTTTTACTATTTCCTAGTTCGACACATACATCCTGAAGATTTTGCAGCTCACTCCCCATTATTTCGTCCATAAAGAATTTTATTAGGAATGGAGATATGGGACATCCTTGTCGAACGCCGCTCGTCGTTTAGAACAGACCGGAAAGTTCACCGTAAGCTCTAACGTGGCCAAAAGTATGAAAATACAATGGTCTCAGTAGGTTCAATAACTCCAGTGCCATGCCTTTTTGATGAAGAGCACTGAAAAATGCTGTTCGATCAACAGAATCGAAGATGCCTTTTAAGTCTAAGAAAACCGTTAATCTCAGTCGGCGTTGCGAATAAAGCTTTTCAAGTAGTCAGCGAAGAGGGAAAATCCGGTCGATGCATCCTCGATCTGGTCGAAATCCAGCTCTTGCAAGCCGGTGTAAGATGGTACAGCAGAATCGAGGCTAATATTTTGGTAACTGTCGGAATTAAGCGAATCCCACGATGGTTACTACAGCCATTTCATATTCCCTTCTTGGAGATGGGAACAGTCAACGACTCACTCCATAATAACGGAATACGCTCCTCGTTCCCACGGTCACGAAGCGAGAAGGTAAGTGATTTTATCAAAGCATCTTCACCCAGTTGGAAAAGATATGGAGGAAGTTCATCATGACTTGCCGCTTTCCCTCGTTTTAGTAATCGAATACATGACTCTACTACTTCCGATGGGGCTCAAGCGATACCACCCATGGTGTCGCAGTTGTTGACCAAGGGGTAATCACATTAGCTTACGGCCAGCTGAACTGTTCCTTGAAATATTCGGTCCAAATGTCAAGCCTTTGCTGTTTGCCATGGATGGGTCCTCATTTCTATCGAGAATCGTTCCACTGACCTGGGTGCATTGTCCACCGGTGACACGTATACGTTTGAACAATTTTTGATTGGGACCTGAAGCAGCAGCTATTTCCATTTCTTCGGCTACCTTGACCCACCAATTTTCGCGATCATTCTTAAGGCTTTTCATAACTTGCTTCTGCAAACGTCTTCGCCTCTTATTCATCTCCTTACATTTCGAAGGCTGGAATGTAGAACCATGTGAGTCTGAAATGAGTCGGGCGTTTTCCCAGGTTGGAAAACTGATAACAAATCTGTGGATAAAATGCATAAACAATCTTTTCCGGAGAATGAAGTAGGAAGCCATTTTTTATTTGCAAATGTTCCTTGCCCGGCGGGGAAACCCCGGTGAAATTGTTTCTCGTTCAGTTCTGGTGCGTTCAGTGGACCATTGCAGGTTTTCCATAGAGAACATTTTCTTGTACGGCAAAGGTGTTCTTTGCAGGGAGAACATTCCATTCAGCGTGATTGAAGTTCAACTAAGAATACTACTTAATAGGCGTGATGTACTTTCTTTTGGCATCTTAATTATAGTATTAGGAAAACCTTGCAATTGTGGTGCCCATACTTCAGTAATTATTGAGATATTGTAACCGCGGTACACAACTGTGTCCTATGTTATCTATTAGTTTCACTCCAGTACGTATCCCGTTTGTTTCACCTCATAAAGTTTGAAGTCATTCTGCCATCAATAATCGAGATTTCATGAATGAGTCAGTGATGCAGGCCGGCAGGTCTCGCTATCCTAATATCTCCTATCTCAGTGGTCAAAATCTTTTTCACTAATAAGTATCCATTGGTAACTCTGGTAGCAGTTGCCCGCACCTCAAAATTATTTGCGTCCATTTCGTGCTTCAGTTACATGATTTCATCATCTGGTAAAAGAAGCAAACGGTTGTCAAACAAGATCAACTAACGCCACCACTTTGTTGGGCCTCCCAATCTGTCTTTTTTCATTGTCCTCCGACCATGCAGCGGACTTAGTAGCTAAAATCTACTTTGAGTGTAAACTAGCCATTGGTTAAATCATGGATCGTACTTCCCGTCCACCTCACAGTCACTGAGGCGCAGGTAGCAAACAGTGGTCATGTATCTTACACTTCGCACAGGCTCACCCAAAAGCTGTTACAGTTATCAACGAGAACTAATCTCACCGATGATGAAATTTATCAGCACGATGGGGATCATTGCGAGGCAGAGAAATTTCTCGACTATAGTTGACTATAGTGACCGTTGTCTAGCAAATCACTTGTCTGTATTTAGAAAGAAATGCTACTGAGGAATTCACTTGAGGTTACTCAGTGCCAGCGGAAGTTACAGGAGAAGCACTTGAACTTACAGTGGCTTCACTCGAAATGAAGATTAACTGTCTAACAGATAATGTAGATAATGAGTCGGAAGGTATATCAGTACGATAGCGATAACTCAATAGGGTACAAGAATGAATAAGAGAATAGGGATGAGGTTACCTGAATAACAGCACTGATGGAGCCAGTGTCGAATCCAGCGTGTCCGTGAACGACGAAACGAAACGGGAAAGGAGCGTTGTATAGGAGGTTTAGTGACGAGTGCTACGATCAGATGAGGTCAGAATTTGGGACAAGAGCAAATACAAATTAAAGGCATGGTTGACACAGAATCCAGGGCTAATATGTACAGAGTAGACGAGCAAATGGTTGTACGAGGGTAAAGAAAGGTCCGGTTCATTTTCATCCCATTTGATTCAGGCAACTGAGTCTTGAACAAACAAAGATCAACGACGGAGAGCACGAGGAAGAGGAACAAAACTTAGTTTCTAGTTATAATTTTACTTATCAAACCTGGAGACTTTCAAATTGTTTTTATTGGATGGCATAGTCAACCAGCCAAACGGAGCATTTGCACTTGGTTGTGTCATATAATTTATTCAGAACGGGATAACACAGCTAGATTCAGAGTTTCCGCCAAGTAGTAACTGCAGCACAAAACCGCTTGCTTGTATATGCCGTTGGTTTTCATCAAGATGGTAAAAATATTAACCGGTCCGTAATTATTTTGACCTCACTTATGGCCTCTTGGCCACTACAATTTTTCACTGACCACTTATCAAACATATTCCCGTGGATTAAACCAATTTCCGCGTTTTTGTCAGAAACGTCATTGGAAGAGTCCTTTTTATCCATCAACTGAGTCATTCATTCAAGAACTACGAAAGCGGAGAAAAAAGTATCACTTTAGTTTGTTCACCAAGCATTAGGCCTGCATATTCGAATGAAATATTTTATTTGTGCATATGTCAACGCAATAATTTGATAAGTTGCCTAAAAGAATTCAATACGAGCAAGGCGATTGTAAATTATATTGGATTAAAGGGATTGATCAGTAGAAAAATAATTTATGTGAAATGCTTGAGTAAAACGAATGAATTTGTAGTAGTGTAAAGTCTTTCATGGACTAAATGCCCACCTGAATATTGAGGATACCGAAAGTAATGTCTGTTATGAATATTGAAGTGGTTTCTGCAATAATCCATCTGTGATAACTTTTTGTAAACGAATCGGCGAATACGGTCAACATCATGAAAATTGCCAATACCCATAACATGATAAATGGATCATATACACCCATTCAATCAACAGTCATTCAGTCAGCCACCGGAAGCACCACCTACCCTGGGATTTGGCCAGCTGAGACATAATTTGATGCACGGCGCCTTCTTTTAAAGTTTCCACTTTTGAATCTGTCTTACATTCTGTCAAACCAATAAAACAGGTGCTCATTTGAATGCTCGAATCAGTGATAGTATATTCTTTGGACGGTTTTCAAAAGTTTTATCCACTTTATCCACGCACATGCAATCTGTGAAACTACCAGGGATTAGTTCAACCAAAAATCAGTCCGTCACCAATGTTGTTTTGAAATAGATGTATTCATTTGCTTATCACAACAAGATAATTCTACTTTGTAAATGTTCCTCTTATTGACTGTCTTGTACAAACCTTTCAATTCAATTTCACCATTCTGCATGAGAAGATAGAAAAGTAGGAAAGTTATTTGGAATAAACTTACTTGGTGGTAGCATTTCTCCACCTACGAAGAACAATGTCAGTTTACCGTGACTAGAAACGGAAAGTGATGACTGAATGAATTATCACGGCAAAATATTTTGGGTAAATAAGAAACGAACGTCATTTGCGAGCTTTTTGGTTCTCACGATTGAAACACAAGTTTCACCAGGTGAAAGCAGATACAGGAATTTTGTGAAAACAAATATAGCAATGGAGAAATTGTTCATTTGCTTAAATCAATGCACTTCTAAGTAGTGCTAATTTTACTTCCTATTTCTAGGCACTGATTGTTTTACAACGGGGATCTGAAATTAGCGAATACATTTGATCATCCCTAATGAGTTCAAACTGAAACAGATTATTCACAAGAAATCGTCACTAGTTGATAATTTCGACAAACCCTTTATATACTAATGGGTAATTGTGCATGAAATGGTTGAGAAGAACGAGAGGTCTACTCACACAAAAGTTCACCGGTTTTGAGGGAACACTGCGTGTCCAACAGTACAATATCGAGGGAGTAGATCTGTCAGAGAATCACGAAGATCCTTCTCATTTCGTGATATATTATCAGCCGTACAAAATGGGGACTAAATATCGGTGAATATGACAACGAACAGCTAGAAAAGAAACACCGATGAATTCCATAGGAACCACATATTGTATCAGAGAACGCTGGATCAACAAAAAGACACGAAGATCAAGCCAATCAGGCCGACCCATTGAAAGTAACAGATCAAAGAACAGACGACCAATATATCGAAGGCATCCCAAAGCATACAAAGAAGACATATGGACTAGCGGATAGGAAGCAGCAGGACCTCAGGTGACCAGCAAGATAGCCTTTGGGAGGGGCTAGTGATCAAGTCGTCAACCGGGACAATCGGACCAGCTGGACAGGGATGGTGCCCAAGAGAATCAAGCCAATGGCCACAGGCAACTGAGCAGAACGTAGTTGAAATGCTCGAGCAGGCACAGAATCGGTGCGGTCCGCAAAGAGGGCTACATAAACGATTGCATGTGTTTCATAAACTCAGCTTGTTTGGCCCTCCAGATTCGAGTGTCCTCACCCATCTTGCAGTCTTCGTTATAATATCATCGATAAGCTGAATCGGCTTCTGTTCTGGAAAATCCTACCATCATGGTATCAATTTGACTTCAACTCCACATACATTCCGTTGTCTGATATGATTAGTTTGTGTACATAGGATTTATTCCCCCGCGGTTGAATGTTTGCATATTTAACCAATTAAACCCTAACAAAACTATGAAGAAGCCGTTTATTCTTCTGTACTGGATAACTGATTTCGTCAAAATGCTATCTCCAGGAATGTAGTTTCTTGCAGCTAAAAAATCTGTTTTCTCTTCTGAAGTGACGAAAAGGAATAATTTGAATTTGTGTCTAGGACGACAATTTTTGCAATGCTTCTGATAAACGTCATTGAATAACCAACGGCAGCATAGTGGCATTACCCAAGTAAATCCATGAAAGAAACAACAAATTAGGATGAATTATGAAGGCACAAAGCTAACTATAAGACACTCGTGAGATTTCACGTGTGATTCACGATACTACATAAAATAAAATACTACTCGCTCGAATCACATCTGTAGGCAGAATGAATGACTGGAAGGAATTTCCATTGTGGACTCAACCACTTACAGAAATCTGGAAATTAGTGTCTTAAAAACCCACGTGTTACAGCCACAGTTGACAAGGCAAGTTCTTATGAGTCAGCACTCAGATCGCTTGAGCATACTACAACCCATAGCGACTCTCAGCAGGGGTGTATTTTGCAACCAACTGGAGGCTGTCGGTAGACTCCCAGCAGTTGGGTTATATCCAGATCCAGGGCCTTTTTCGTTGACAAAGAGCTAGCGGTTAATGAGCATTTTATGAACATTTATCATTATGTTGATTTAATCCTATTCTTGTGAAAATAAACTTGAACATTTTAAACCATACCAATTTATTACTCGCAAGTTGTAACATTAGTCGACAGTTAAGGGGCTGGGATCAAAAGTTCCCACAAAAATTTGGAAACGTGATGCAAATTAGTCCGTATTCCAGTGAATCAGCTAATAGGTATCCGGTCGGATTTTTCGTGAATTCATGGGCAATAACATGAATGATTTGATTTAGCTTTCAGCCCTCAAAAATGATCCCTCAGAAGCATCAAAAGTTTTGGAAAACTGTTGGATGTCTTCGTGCCAAATCTCGTCAATGTTACCGTGAATGAATTTACCATTTGAAATGTGACCTTCAGAGGAGTGAATAAATGATTGTACTCAGCTGAGGAGGTCTATTCGCATTTTTACTCCTAACATGTCTTCTTCATTAGCTTCCCTTGCTTTGTAATATCTCATTATGGAAACCGGATTTATGGGATAGACCCTTGCCTAAAAAACTGACAAAATTGCCTGAAGCTTTCTCAAACGAAAAAACCTTTTTCTTGATTCAACCTAGACGCGAAGTAACAGCAAAGCCATTTTAGTTGTTCAGACATGAAGTACGTGTTCTGCTTGTAAGTTGATTCGAAATTACGCTAGCTTCCGTTCACCGAAAGCGAAACCAATGCAGATGAAAGGGACCACAGTAGAATGCCGGTACGAAACGGACAGACGTGCCTAAATGAAACGAAGCAAGATTGAAATAACCAAAATATGGTCCGCATTCAGGATATGATGACTCGTATCATTCGAGACATATATGCACCAATACTTGGGAGATTTTCAGCACGCAGATGGTCGAAATTTGTAGCCACGGATTTTTTCGGATAAAAGTAACTTAGAATGCGTGTTGAAGGAAGCAGAGGCGAAATAAGGCTGTGTGGAAATTAGGAATAACTACGACGATGACCAGTAGGAAACTTCGTTCATTGGTCTTTGCCTACCAGTGGGCCAACATAGAAAGGATCATTGTTGCTCCAGTGTGTAGGTGGGTTTGAAGGAAGGATTTGGAATTTCGAACAAGTGGAATAACAATAATAGGTGGCTTTTGAATGTATTCCATGGAACCAGTTGTTGTTGATAGGTTGTAATCCGCTGGGTTACTTTTCGGTAATCATAAAACCAGCAAGAATACCTTTATCAAAGTAGCTAGAACGAGAAATTCTTTTCAGTCGTTTGGCGATAAAAACGTTGAAATGTAACCTCAATGACAGAATCGGTTGCATCAGTTACTGCTTTTTCTTCATCCTCTTCATTCTTTGGAAGTTTCAGCTACGAATATTCTCTTGTTTTGTGACTGGAAGAATGCGTTTTTCCTACCGGGAAACGTAATATTTCACTGTTTGCACCAATACCGTGCTGAGCTACAATATCATTAGACTCCTTGTTGAGTGGGCTGTTTATGACTGCACTACTAAGATATCTCTGGGAACTTTCTGTACTTATGATCTTGGTTGCTCACCCGACTCTAAGTCATTTGTTTTTATGTTCATATGCAATGGAAAATCCACTTGCATTTTTCACAAAGAACAGTCGAACGCCGTGAAGCGGCTACTTTCCGCATACCGGGCAGTTGCTCCACCAACTGCGCCATTACGGTCCGGACAGTCGGATGTTAATAAAGCAGGTGAATAATCGTTGATCGGCGGACCCCATATGATTCAGGTTCCTTGTGCGAAAAACACATTCTGTGAATATTCATAGACATTGTGATTGAAGGAACCATAAAACTAAGATAATGATGGTTAATAACTCTAAATTATTCTGCCCGTTGTCGTGCACAGCCCATAGCTTGTGTAAAGCTAGTGAGACCAAGCTTCTGCCTAAATGGCAGCCCATAAAGTCAGGATAGAATTTGTAAAGTATTCACTCGTTGTGCATATTCTCTCACTCCCAAATATATATAACCCAGAACATATGACTCCGAAATACATATTAGGCCGACTGACTTCTACAGCTCGCTGTCAGTGGTCGATGGACCCAACCCATGAACGTCTCTTTAGCAAAAGGTGCTGTGAAACAAAATATTTTAGAAAAGACTCCGACCACTTGACTAATAAATGCATTATCGTTATTATTAGGATTATCGTTATTATTTTTATCGTACCAGTAATAATGGCAGATGCAGAAATAGTATAGTAGTAGTAATGATAGTAGTATTTTTGATGGTACTGACGATAATGATAATAGTTGCATCAGTAGTAGTAGCAGTAGCCGTGGCCTATTTCTTTATTCATGGCGTATTACAAAAGTTCTGAAAACCATGATACTGGAAGGCAGGTGATGAATACCTACTTAGAAACTAGCTCCTGAGAAATACTTCTCTGAAGTTTCTGGTGGTAGCCTATGTGACCTCAGTCACCCACATCATGAATTGAGTACCAGTTAGAACTCCGCTGATTTACGATACCGATTATGCTTACAAAGCAAAATAAACAAATTGTGAACTGTTCGGTTCAAGTCGTGATCCTAAATTGGACACGTCATGATGAATTAATCTTAAATACTTTGAATCACATACCCCTGAATCAGAAGCAATTTCTGGTTTGAAATTTCATTGTTTTACACATGGGCCCCTGTCATAGCTGTAATGTGGTGGCTGACTTCCATCAATCAGCTATCATCAAGGATTTATTTCACTTGGGAAAAAGCTTGATTTATTTTTGGACTGAATGCCAGTAGTACTGTGAATTTAGTGTCTGATAGCTGCTTCTCTGGGTTTTTCAAACGTTGGGTTTGAAATCCGTCACGTGTATCACTAA